ATAACTTAACTTGCAAAACAAGTAAGAATAAACAATTCTACATTAAGTAGTAGTAGTATTAGTATTAGTAGTATTAGTAGTAGTAGTATTAGTAGTATTAGTAGTAGTAGTAGTAGTAGCAGTAGTAGCAGTAGTAGTAGTAGTAGTAGTAGTAGTAGTAGTAGTAGTAGTAGTAATAGTCGGTCATCATCATTATCATAACCAATGATAATTACATGTATTTTCCTATGATAAATACAATTGATTCCAATTGATCCCTATCACGAATGATAAATTTTTTACAATAAAAATTTGAATGATAGAATACATTATTTAATAACATAGAAATTATCAATTAAATGTAAATAATTATTTAATCGTAAGCATTAAAATATTTATAATTCTAAACGTTTGTTTTTTTTTTTTTTTTTTTTTTTTTTTTTTTTTTTTTTTTTTTTTTTTTTTTTTTTTTNCTCGAGTATACATAATTTCGTTTAAAGTCTTAAACGTCTCTGTTATTCTTCGTATACACGCAATAAATAAAAGATGTAAAAGATCTCGTATCGAAAAATATATAAAAGTTGTTTACTTAAATAAAATGTAAAAATGTGTAAATTGTAAAAATTCTTGTAACTTGTAAAAACTTGTATGTACGTAACTTTTTTTTAAAAAACACGCTCCACGTAAATAGTTTCCTCTAAAAACAAAAAATACCTACTCGTGCACACACGAAATCTACAACTTTTAACAACTATTATTCCTAAAAATGTTGAATGATAGAATGATTAGAATTACGGTGAGATATGCCATTATATTTTTTTATTCTTATTAAAATATTCTCGTTTCTCTCTCGTTCGATCTTCGATCTCTCGTTCGATTGTTACGCATTAATATTCATTGCCACGTCTAGTTTCTATTCAAGTTTCTCACTTTTATATTACATTCGCGAATTGGAAACGAAAATCTTGCTTGTATCTCATCTTGCGTTACGTTAAATTATTCTCCACGAAAATACAGGTATACGAAATACGACGAGTAAAAAATATAAAAAACAACGTTCGAACGATTAAAAACTTATATATCGATAAGATAAGTTGCTTTTTTTTTTTTCTTTTGAGCGAAAAAAAAAGTATTTTTTCTAAAAACATTATATCAAATAATTATTCGCGCGTTTCGAGTAAAAAAGAGGGACAAAAAAAAAAAAAAAAAGAAAAAAAAGAAAAAAGAAAAGAAAAGAAAAGAAAAGAAAAGAGAAAAAAGAACGCAGATGAAATAAATTTACACGTCGTACATCACGATCGAGCGTCGAACAAACACGATCGAATCACGATTCAATCGCCAACCGAGCTGCTGTAATCGTCTCTCTCATTGTCTTTCGAAACTCGAACAGAATGGATCAAGTTTCGCCTGCCGGTACTTTTTCAATCCGTTTTAATCACGATATAATAAAGGAAAATTATACCCAAAACTTTTACCAATATTATGAACAAACGCCTCCCTTTATTGAATCGCCGTTCGATTCGATCATCGTTGCTCCTCCGAGGCCATCTCTGAGAACAATTCTGCCTCTCGTCGTCCGGGCACCCCCTCTCCTTATTGAAATTATTTCTCGAGCCGCAGAATTTCGTTCTCGACTGCCTTTTTCCACGATAATTTAAATCGGTACTCGTCGAAGGGATTGGGCCACCACCAACCCTTTTCCTCAACGTGTCCGCGGGCTCCACGTGATATTCTTGGCCATCTTTACTATTATTACACTTGGCCGGGACGGGCGTTCTTCCCTGGATACCCGACTTGTTTCCACAACCACCACCCCCAGCGTGCACGTGGGTGGTGACAACCGTGCCCTTATCGGCGATTCGACCTTTCTTCGACGATTTTTCCTGCTTGAAGCAAGAATTGTTGTTACTCGCTCCCGATATAAAGGAATTGTAACGATCGTCCTTGGCGTCCGGGTGGCACGTGGTGGTGGACAGAGATTCGATACTTTTCGACACGCTTCTCTCCGCATCCGCGTCCACCTTGGCCGTCGCCGTTACATCGTCACGATATATCTGGGGGTTACGTTTCAATATAGTGTATTTCGGCACCGCATCCTTTTTCCGATCGTTCCGCAAATCCGTGGGCAAGCTAAGACTGTTCTTTAATCTGATTCTCTGCACGACCTTCATTTGCTCGAGGAAGAGCGCCTCGTCGGCCTCGTGATTACCTCCACGAGGCCCCGACGTTGCTCTCGATCGTTCGTGGGGATAGGGGCAAGGGATGATGGAGTCTGATGATAATTCGAGGTCATTACCTGTGGCTACTTCCCA